AACTGTTCGCACCCCCAGGCGGAGTTTGCTTACATGTCCGTTTGCCTCTTTCACTGCCGTGACGAGCAGGTTATTAACGGCTCTGCAATGCTGAAATGTGAAGCATCAGGCAACTGGACAGGAGAAATGCCCTCATGTCATGGTACATATTTTAAAAAGTCAACATACAGTATATACCTATTGTTAACTTTCAGAATGTTTGGCAACTAAAGGAATTTCAATCCCAGAAGTTTGACTGACACTAACCAAGACCCTTTTTGCTCACAGAACAGCCTCAGTCACTGCACATCTATACAGCTATAAGCGTGGCTGGATCTGTTTCTGCACTGAGTGGGCTGTCACTGGCTGCCTGGATTGTGAAGCGCCTAAGGAGGAAAGGTAAACATAGCAATCATTTTCAAAAACCACTTCAAACCACTGGCAATATTAGAGCCAGGTCTGATGAATGTGAGAGGAATTCATTGTTCCCAATCCAGGACAATGAATTGTTTTGTAAACGTATTTAACATTCATGCAACTAAAATTAGGCCAATTGCTGATTTACAATGAAAATAGGTCATCCAGTCATTAAGCAGTTTAATTACACAGTTTATTATAACTTCATATACTGTATAAAAAGTACTAGATATAAAAACATTGGTTTTAATGGTTATTGCCATTTTGCAGATGCTGTTTAAAAGGTTCTAACAAACTTTGTTTTTGTTCCTTTTCAGCCCAACAGCTTGAATTAAACAGGTAAGATCAACTCTAATTATTGATCCTTTCTGACATCTGTGTTTGCAACTTTTTAGTTACAGTTGTGTTCCATGTAAATGATGTTGTATCTAATTTGTGTTTTGCAGCAGCACAGAAGAGCCCCATCCTCAGACGTACAAAAGCAGCAATGACAGCTTGATTTAGACTTATTATAAGTCAGGTAAATATACACAGTTTCTAACTATTAGATATTTGTACAATAGGCAGACAAAATCTTAATATAGAAAACGTCCAGCTCTTGTGAAATATTTTCTATAAACATCTCTGTATTTTTCAGGATTTGGAAAACATCGAATGTAAGACAACGGCGCCATCTGCGAAACTGCTTAAATGGATGCACTGGTTTTTAAGACTGGTGTTGTGTTGTATTGTTCAGGAGTGTTTCTACTGACAAGAGTTCTTTTTTCTTAAAGAAAATCCAAACTGTAAAATGTGAACTGGGGATATACTGTAGTGTTAATAATCTCATACTTGAGACTTTCACTATAAGAGTGAAATAACATTTTTTTTTCTTCCCCAAGGGAGGTGTGAAATAAAACAGGTTAGTTCTTGAAAGCTGTTCAGTCTGTATAGTAATAAGCTGCCAGCAAATGATTTGAGACAGTTATACTGCAAAGGCAGACATAAACCCAATTAATGGGTCACTACAAATTTCTGAACTTTGTTACTGGCGTACAGAGATCAGACTTGGAAAAAATGTTGTAACAAATGGAATGTTGTAAATATGTAAAGATATATGTTCATAATAAATTTAAATGGTATCCCATATATTTGAAAGCTACTTTTTAGAAGACTGACTGTACTTGTTATTTATGTCATTTTGTATTTAAATAAATGTTTTTTGACCTTGTTACCCATTGTGACTTTAATGGTGCTTGCATTAAATACATTTCTTGTTTTTTACTGAATATAGAAAATGTTGCTTGGAATTTGGTATTGAATCCTGTTCTTCAATCTATTAATGGTGATAATCTATTTACACAGTTATATATAATATGTATACAGTACATGTATACAGAAAGAGAGTGAAAGATCTCAAAATCGAACACCAGAAATATATATTCTTGAATTGACAGAAAGAAACAATTGAAAAATATTGCAATTTAGATTCTTGAACTTAATTATTCATACTTGAGTATATTGCAGCTTACACTGTTGAACTTGAGTATTTATACTTGAGCATTGTGGATTTATTGATTTACTCTTGACTGTCAGGGAGTGTGAAGAGTCTATGTATTTAAAGTGTCATCCATAAGTATTGGGACAGTGAAGTTAAAATTGCTATTTTTGCTATTTACTCAAGCAATTCGGATTTGAGATGAAAAGATGAATATGAGGCAAAAGCACAGAATGTTACCTTCTATTTCTGGGAATTTCTGCACATACTGTATATGTTTTAATGTTAGAGAACAATTCCACTTTTTGTGTTCCACACCCCATTTTAGGTCAGCGTAAGTATTGAGTCAAATTAACTTAAAGTAAATTAACGTAGTATAAAACTTAGTATTTGGTTGCAAATCCTTTGCACAAAATCTCTGCATTAAGCCTGTGACCCACTGACACTCTTGGTTAGTTCCACTGAAATGTTTGACCAAGCATCTGCTGCAGCTGTTTTCACTTGCTGTTTGTTCTGGGGAGGTTTCTGACTTCTGACTGGCTTTTTAGCAAGTGAAACGCTCGATTGGATTTAAATTGGGACATTCACTTGGTTAATCTAAGACTTTCCACTTTTTTCCCTCTGATGAACTCCTTGGTTATGTTGTGTGGTGGTGTGTTTTGGGTCATTATCTTGTTGCATGATGGAGCACCTGGTCAATGAGTCTGGAGGCATTTTCTTGTAGACAGGCAGACAAAATGTTTCAGTACACTTCTGCTTCTATAAATCATTAGTTACATTATCAATAAAGATGAGTGAGCCAGTTCCAAGCCCACAGGTGAAGTGCTGTGCTTTGGATCTGTAGTTTGATCCTTTCTCCACACTTACATCTTGCCATTACTTCGGTAGAGGTTTATCTTTATTTCATCTGTCCATAACATTGTGTTCCAGAACACTACTGTCTCATGTCTGTACGTTTTAGCAAGTTGCAATCTGGCTTTCCTATTACTGGTGCTAATGGGAGGTTTGCATCTTGTGGTGTAGCCTTTATAATTCTAGCTTTTGCTAACAGTAGATTGAGTTACCTTCACCCCTGCCCTGGGGAGGTTGTTGGTGATTTCAGCGACAATTGTTTTAGAGTTTTTCTTCACGGCTCCGATATTTTTTTTATCATCAACTGCAGTTGTTTTCCTTGGCCAACATGGTCTTTACGGAGTGCTAAGTACTCCAGTGGTTTCTTTCTTTTTCAAGATATTCCAGATTGTTAATTTTGCTATGCCCAGTTTCTGTGCTGTGGTTCTGACTGAATTTGTCTTTTCTTTCATAAACAGTTCTCTAGTCTTCATGTTGGTTTAGGCTGACTGACTTCAAAGACAGACAAGAAAAGGAAGAGCAAAGGCTACACATTACTACACATTCACAGCTCTTATATACATGCACAATCAAGGCAAGAGGAAACACCTGTCTCATAAGAAACGCCTGACAGCCAATGATCCCAATACTTACAATGTATGCTCACCTGCAATGGGGGGAATTAACACAAAATGTGATATTCTTCTAAAACAGGTACAACACATAAGCACAGAAATACCAAGAAATAAAAGATAACATTCTGTGCTTTTTCCTCATATTAACCTTTTCATCCCCAATATTGTATAAGTACAGTGTACAGCAAAAATAGAAATTTTGACTTCACTGTCAAAATACTTATTGAGGCCATCATACACTGAAAATGTTGTCTTTCTAGACCAATTAGACTACTTGTGGTGTTCCTTGTAAGCTGCAATGGTTTAATCAAAATATTATTCATTTTGGAACTTGTAGATTTAGAATGGTAATACTTAAGTTTTAGACATCTGTTACAAATGTCCACGAACAGCTTAGTAATATGTTATCAAACGTTGTCTAAATAGATATAAAACATTAGTAGATTGATTACAAATCTTCCTTTGATGTAGGGGTGTGATCAATAACTTAATTGTCTCGGTTAAAACAAGTGTAAGTGTGTAATCTATGACACAAATGAATGCTTTAGAACGTTATTCCAAAAAGCATATTAATGTGAATTCCTCGGTAATAAATAACTGATATTAGACTCATTATACTGGCAAAACAACACATTTAGTCTCCATGATGTCTTGCAATGGACCAGTGTCTTATCCAGATGACAGTCATGTGCTTTCTAGTCCACTTAACTCTCCCGAAACCAGGACAAGTTCTAGCCCAATGACCCACTGTGGTTCTGGTCTTTATCTAACCAGTCTATGATGTTCTAAGTGTTAATTTGTGATAATAAAGAACTAATATACACCTTAAAAGTTAAATTACAGACTACACTCTCGTTTTTGAGGAAGCGTGAGACTCTTTCAGTTGTTCATTTTCTGTTCAGCATTTCAATAGCTACTATTTGGCAAAGGTCAAAATGCAGAATAACATCCTGAAAGGAAGTTTGTACAGAACTATTAATTATAGGTATGTTCCAGTCTGGCAGATGTATAACTGCAAATGTTTGGAAAACATTTTGTACTGTGTTCCATTCCATTGTTCCTCTCCTTTTCAACTGTTTCAGCAAAATACAATGTCAGAGATCACATCTCCTCATCCAGTTTCCTCTAAAAAATGTCTTCTTCCTCCATTACAGTAGTTTGATATAAGCACAAACTGAGAAATGTTGAATTTGTTTGATTTCCTTTCATTTAGTGTGAGGTAAAGGTCCTTTGACAATGTCTGGAAAGGTAATTTGTCTGATGAAGCAGAGGTGTCTAGGGAACTGAACCACTAGGGTTATGCATGAAAACTTTCTGCCACCCCTCACGTCCATCCATTGTCACGCCCACAACTAACCAGATTCCAACGCGGAAACATACTCACTCTCATTGCACTCCAGCCCTGAGCGCTTCTAGCAAACCACATCGTTCTGACCCATCAACCAACCACAGGACTTCACTAATCACCACACTTTCCACCTCCCGTAATACTTAAACCTGCGTTACCCTCTGTTCACTGATCGGTATCGGTCTCTCCTTTAGGAACTCCTTACCTCTCCCTCTTGTCTAAGTTAGTTCTCTAGACTTTTCGGAATTGAACTTCAGATTTAGTCTTCGACCACGTCTACAGCCTAGCCCCTTTCGGATACTAGACTTCTTAGTCTTCTCCTCCTACCTTTTACCTGCTCATCTTCAACAACTAAGACACCGCATAGGGGCTAACTACTCAGTTGGCCTGCTGGCTTGTGATATCCCTCTTCTAAATGCTTCGTCTAATACCGGGTTGCCAGAGAACTATCCCAGCCCAGCTATTAACAGGCGCAAAGCAGGATACACTGTGGACAGGACGCCAATCCATTGTAGGACAAACACACACTTACACCAGGTCCAAATTTCCCAGAAGCCATTTATCCTACCAGTAGGTCTTCGGACTGTGGGAGGAAACCGGATCACACAGATGAAAACCAAACGATCACAGGAGGAGAACATATAATTTCCACACAGATAACACCCCAGAAATTGAACCCAGTTCCCCAGCCACCCCACATCACTTACAATTAGATATTAATCCAATGAGAAATGAGAGGTGCTGACTAGATAGCACTAGTTATCACACTGAGCTTTCAACTCCATTAGCATCTACTTCTCCCTCATTAAGTAATGCAACATTGGGGGGACTTTTTAACATAAGTCCTTAGGTAGAAAATTTAAGGGTAGTGTGACTGTGCGGGATGGGTGAGGGGGTATGTCTGGATGTGGGAATGACATTTTCAATTTTGTATTTGACTGTGCCTGACAGTACATAGTTCTTGCAGTTCTGAAATGGCAGTTATGCTGAGTGCTATGCAGGTCATTGAAGTAATATGTAACTTAATAAAGCTTATTAATAATCTCCTGGCACACAAATCCCTAACAGTCCTGGAGAACTGGATCCCTATAGTGTTATATTTCAGTATCATATTTTAGACACAAATATTCATTAATAATCTATTAAATATCAAAATCATCATGACAGTCAAATTAACAGAGATACCGTATTAATAATCCAGGGCTTAACAAAACTAATGAACAAATAATATATTTGTCTCTGTGTACATCATTCACACTCACAGATCCCCCTGGACCTAGAATAAGTAAGAGGAAGCCACATCACTATAAGTGAAGAGTTCTGAAACAGTGACAGTCTGTCGCTGGATCACAGGGATGATACGAGACTCCAGCAGGAAAATTCTAAGAATTCAATAACAGTTTGTCCAGTTCAAGAACAAATACAATAATAAAAATGACCATTAATTCATGGTTAATGTATGTCCTGGATGTAAATAAAATGCAAACTTATAATAGTCCTGTTTTATTCAAGTTTTACTTTTCTGTCAAGTAAACTAAATGTACAGTTTCTGTGTTGTAACAGTTCAGGTTGGCCAAGAGATTAACATCCTTGCTCTTTCTATGTGCACCATTCAAATTTCAAAAGAAAACAAAGATAGCATAATTCTTCTAAAAAATGCATTTATATGCAAATGCATATAATTCAGAAAGGAAACGGGAGTGAACATTTTGTTAGACGTATATATATACTCACAACTGGTCATTTTATTCATTTTGGCAACACTGACAAGCCTCACATTTCTGAGGCTGAGAACAGGAAAAGAATACAATTAAAGAGGAATGTTCAGTGACATTACATGAAAAAAGAACACAGGTAAGTTATTTGTAGCACTCTTAAAATAAACCTTGATGCTTTATGCACCAGAATGTCATTAAATTATATATGTTTATAATGTTTTCATAGTGTCATATTGAACTGTACTTCTTGCAAGGCTTCTCAGAAAACCATTATAAATAAAACAACATTTCATCCTTGGAAATTTAGCTTGGAATGTTATTCCTTCGCCTGACTATTATACATCTAGACAAATACTGCCAGATACCTCTGAGGATGCCTTCAGACTTACTGGAATGCTTACATTAATTTTAACTCAAGGCTCTTCTTTTCCATTTAAGCAGAAAATGCACAGAAGAAAAATTCCTTCCAAGCCAGTGTTCCAGATGATGAGTTTGACGTGGCTTCTCATCCTGAATTGTGGTACAGAATAATATCTCAATAAGATTGTGAGCATAGAATAATTGCACATATTTATAGCACATATTTATAATTATATAATTATAGTTATATATAATTCTATATTTACGGTCTCCAGTAATAGACGATAAATTATTTTCATAGTTGACAAGGTGAGGCTTCCTTTCCTGATTTTCTAATTTTTCAGAAAATGACCTGAAAATGTCTTTACTTAGGGAAATAGTTCATCAGTGTTTTTCTCCTTTTTTAACTGGCATTCTCTAAAACTATGATTAATTTTTAAAATCTTTATTAAAGAATTTCATTATAGAAAAGGCAAAACTATGGAAGGTAAAAAATCTATACACATTTATTAAAACCATTGTTTTTTGTTTTGTGCAAGACCTTAGTTATAATTTCTTTAAACCAGAAAGTAACAACTTTTCTGCTGTGTAGAAAAACTTCAATGAAAGAAATACGGAAAACGGGGAATTATCTATGGGACCTTACTTTGATTAAACTGATACAGAAAACATATGGAATCCTCTACATGGCTTTAGACTTTGATCACTTGTTTTAACTTCTCTTCACGTTTTGTAAATGTTATTATTTCCTTCAGAACTCTCAATGTTTGCCGGTGCAGTAGGATGGACCTACCACTCGTCTGAAAACATTATGAACTGGACAGTTGCTAGAAATTGGTGCAAAACAGAGTACACCGACATGGTTGCAATTCAAAACCAAGAAGAAAACCTATACCTTAATCAGACCTTGGACAAACGCCCAAACTATTATTGGCTTGGGATACGGAAACTTAATGACACCTGGACATGGGTTGGAACTCAGAAAACACTTATTAATGAGTTTTCCAACTGGGCTTCTAATGAGCCCAATAACAGGCAGGGGGAGGGAGAGGACTGTGTGGAAATTTACATTAAAAGAGAATCTGATGGTGGGAAATGGAATGATGATCCTTGTTCAAATTCAAAGTTTGCACTGTGCTATAAAGGTAAGCAATATAGAATGGACAATTAATTGGGAAAAAGGCTTAAAACTTTAACAACTTATTTTAAGTTGTTCTATACTTAACTTAGATTCCTAAGACTATGCATTGTCTTTTTCAGTTATGGAACTGGTACCAATATTTCTTTTAAATATGCAAGTTTAACCTCACCTGATAACAAAAAGATCTAGCCTGTGAAATACATCAATACAGAGTTTGATATTTGTGTCAATCTGACCTGGTTACCATTGTAAAGAACTGTTGTCACTGCAATGCCAGAAATCAGGGGTAACATAAGTTCTCTGACAACAATAATATGAAAAACTCCCGAATGTATTATACCTTCAGCCTCTTTACCAAATGGAAATCAATTATTCGCATTGCATTTTTGTAATTACAATTTGACCGTGTGTGCAGTAAATCTAGCTGTAGCTGTAGTAAAGCACTTGTGCACCTTCAAAAGTCATGCAATTTAGAAAAACTTTACCAGACGTTACTTTTCAACCCAGGAGCCAGCAGAAGTGGTTGGGTCGACATTATTCATTGTGATGTCAAACAAACACAGAATGTTACAGTTAATTTCAGAAGCATTTAACACATGATCAAGGCACATTGTGCCTTCCAAATCCCTGTCAGTCTTCATTGTATTTTGTCATAGATTTAAAGTTTGAAAAATCTTTCCTCTGCATATTTAATATGTCCGCACAGCTAGGAACAATATTTTACGCTAGGTGCTTTGATAAAAGCTGAACTCCCTTAAAGCAGTACACCTTGTTCCACATCTGCCATATTGGCAACATTGACTTCTACTTTTGCTGAATGCCTGTAATTTGCTGCAGCTAGGAATTTGAAATGTACTTTTGCAAAAGCTCAGTATGACATTCCATTAAGCCAGCTGGAGTACAATAGAAGAATGAGTATGCTTGTCAATAAATGTGAACCCTGTATATTCTGATCTTTTACAGCTCACTGTAATAATGAGACATGCAACTCTCGGAGTGAATGCAGAGAAACTATTAACAATTATACATGTATTTGCAAAGAAGGATTTATTGGACCCCAGTGTCAAGGTGAGAGCTAAAACCATTTTTTTAACATACAATACTTAACTCATATGCCTGTGCAACATTCACATTTTAAAATAATTTCACAATAGTTCATATTTTAAACCAATGTATCACTGTCCAATCTGTCTGAGACAGTCAATTGTCAATTAACAGCTAATTAATAAACTGTCAGTAACAAAATTAACAAAAGTCATTTCTCACCTGGGACCTCATATAATCAGCATTAAGATTAAGATATTTTATACTTTATTAAGATTAAACTGCAGCAGATATAACTGGGCAGAAACAGACCCTAGACTATAAACAGAGCAATAGTATGGTTTCACTTTGTCCAATTAAAGTTAAAACAACAATAAACCTATTTGGAAATTGCACTAATACAATTCTTACTTCAGAAACTATGTATTCACCATATTACTCACTTACTAACTCTACCACTAAGCTGAAAATCAATTAAACCCTTTGTACTAGACAGCTTTTTAAGAAACACTTTACTTCAGTATTTCAGTATGCGTTACTTCACTTTCAAGACAAATGTTGCTATTTGTTGTGATAAAAACTATAATTAATGGGCTTTACAGCTGTGCAGTGTGGAGCCCTGACGAAGCCAGTCCACGGATATATCAACTGTTCAGGGCCCTATGGGAGCAACAGTTTCAATTCAACATGTCAGTTTCATTGTCTTGATGGCTTCTCTTTAAATGGGTCAAACACTATTACATGCACTTCATCAGGAAACTGGACAGGAGCAGCACCAACATGCCAAGGTATGAACTTGCTAGTTTCACTTACTTTCCTCCTTTTCTTTCAAATTTTGACCACACTTCAACTTGACTTGCCTTCTATGCTCAATGTCTTATACAACATTATGATTTGTGTGTAATCTCCCACTAACGAGCCTGGTATGACCTTTCAATACACCCAGAGCCTTCATGATGACAAAAATGCTGCCACATATCAATGGCTATTTTTATTCATGGATATTTTGAGTGAGGATATTCAAATGATTATAAAACTTCTGTTTTTAACTGTTTTTAAAACAGCTTTGACATTTTGCTCCGTGAAAGTTTTGAAATTTTGGGGTTTTCAAAAAGTCCAAAAGTCAAACCAAACCATTGAAATCAAACAAAAGAAGCTTGCAAACGCTAAAGTAACCTCTGATGACTATGGAAGTTCAGGTGGGGAGCTGCGTCAGCATGCATAGGCTCCAAAGCGAAAAGTAATAGGTTTATTCCATGCTGAAAGAGAAGAAAGAAAACACAATGTTTCTGCTGTGAAGCCTTCTTCAGGTTTCTTTCCAGGATGGAATAAACCTATTATGCGTTCCTTTGATGACTATGTACAGGAACAATTTTCTCATTTTCATCGCACAAAACATATTGGGAAGCTTAAACTCACTGCAGAAAGTTTAACATTTTGTGATAATGAGTTAATTTCAGCTGTGCAGTGTGGAGCCCTGTCTAAGCCAGCCCATGGACATATCGACTACTGCGAACCTTATGGGAACAACAGTGTCAATTCAACATGTCAGTTTCGTTGTCTTGATGGCTTCTCTTTAAACGGGTCAAAGAGTATAACATGTAGTTCTTCAGGGAAATGGACAGGAGAAGTCCCTGTCTGTAAAGGTATGACCCCAAAATATTTCTGGTTCAGATATCTTCCTCCGAAAGTTGTCCACATTGTGGTTAGTACACTGAACATCTTTAAGATAAACTGCTAATGTTACTTTTGTTATTCTCTGTTTAAATGCAGATGCAGAAACTATGTGTAAAAATGTTACTTTTTTCTTCATGATAATGGAAATGTAACAAAAGCGATCAACATTTAAATGTTGGAGCAATTTTCCCATTAAATAAATTGTAAAGATTATATTGTTGACATGGAAAACTCATAGTAAAACAGGATTTATAATTTCTTTTGTTTGAAGTATAAAGTTGTATTGATGTCAGAAAAGCATGGTTATGTCTCTTTATGTCTTACACTAATAAAACTATCAGTGAATATAAAGAAACGTTAAGAATATTGTACATAAACTTTGGTTTTTGAATGTTGTGTTTTGTTTGTTAACAGTTACACTATGAAGCCTCCAAGTTAAAATAAGCTACTTTAAATCAAGGAGTGATATTCTACAAAAACAACTGGAAGGTTAGGGGTGTAATGTTTGATGTGTTTGATGCATAGTGCAAGTTCCTTCCTTATTTTATTTCAGGTGTAGAATGTGAATTGCAGTCACATCCAGACAATGGAGTTATCCAGTGTTTAGGCCCCAATGGAAACCACAGTTTTAACTCAACTTGCGAATTTCACTGTATGGACGGTTTTCTATTACTCGGGCCAACTACAATTACGTGTGGTCCTTCAGGAATCTGGACAGGACGAAAACCAATATGTGCAGGTAAAACAAAAAAAGTTTCACTTTCTGTTATGCATACAATTACAGTGTCATCCTTTATGATCTACCTATATTAAATACCTTCTTTCCTTTAATTAACTACTTGTGCAGCCAGACTGATTTTCAATGGTGCCGATAGGAAATTAAGCATGAAAGAATGATGTTTTTAGAACTGTAATTTGCATGTTCAGTGAATATTAAATCCAATCATTCTCTCTGTTTTTTTTCAATCTTCCAGATTATGAGTATTTTATAATGGCTGTCATCGGGGCCAGTATTATTGCAAGTTCCTGTATCGTACTACTTCTGTTGACACACTGTAGAAAAAGTAAGCAATCCTGACACTCAATATTTCTGTACAATATATGTACAATCAGATTAGGGTAATGGTCAGTGTTAGGATTAAGGGTAGGGGTTGGGATCATTATGAATACTCAAGCAGTAGCTACTGTATGTTTTTTTTTTACTATGAATGTTGTCCTTATGAAGGTAGTATGTGAGTTTTAATTTCATGTAGGCAGATTTAACAAATTTGGGGAAACTGTTCATGATTTTAAAATCTGTATTTTCTCTTCTCCAACACGTTTAGTATAAAACAATATGACTGCATGCATAATACAGAGTAAAACAAAATGTGTCTTATATCTTTTCACTCTTTTTTTCAGGAAAGAAGCATCTTCAGAAAAGGTATGTTTGCTAATATTTTGTTTTAACAACAGTGAAATATTCAATCTGCATTTTCATTGGCCACTAATAAATACGATCTGTAAAGCAAGCTAAGAACAAGACCTAGCAAAAAATAATAATTTGTTTATTTGAGTTTAGCGTCTCATCCTGAGTCACCTTTACAGCAGATGGCCATATGCAGACAGCAAAGGCTGTCAAATGGTTTCAGTATGACACAGGGTTTTTACATGGCTTTTCAGCACCCCCAAGGGTTCTAATCTAATTTGTCTGTGACTCTAATGTATTACATGTAATTTGAAGTGCACTGTTTTTATACAATTTAAAACTTTTTATGTTCTTTATGTACAGACAAAGCCTTTTGTTTTTCTCAAAGCACTTGAGAAATTGAGTTGCTTTAAGAAGGTAAGGATTCACTTTCCTGCTGAAAAACAACATTCAAATGTGGACTGTTCTTTTTTTTTTTAGGATGATTGGTGCTAGTGCTGAAGAAGTTGAAGTTCCTGAGGAGAAACATAAACTGAAAGAAATCTTTGACAGACCTGCAGCATAACCTACACAAATTTCAGATAGATCTCATCTAAAGAAACTTCCGGACCAGAGCTGCCCGTGTTTGAGTATTGACAAATATCTTGTTGTGTAAGGTACAAAGCCAGGGCAAGGGTGTGGTGTTCACAAAGCTCAGGAACATCTGTTACCACAGGAAGTTTCTGGCACAGACACTTTCACATCCCATTAGACATTGAGATAATGGCCTGCTGCATTGATACTAAGATCTAACCGAATTTCACTTGCGTTGAGATGTCAGGTTTCACAACACAGGGGGATTAAGTCAGCAGAATTTCACTTTAACTGTTTATCAAATAATGACAAATAAAGAATAACGTAAGATAGGTTAGGGCTTTGTAGAACAAGCAATTGTATTTTGTAAGAAATCTGTGGAATAGATTGCTAAAAGAGCAACATGTTGAAACCAATGTCAGACATCCTTACTGTTGATAATGCTTGACTGCATTGCTGAAGCCCATTTGTAATAAAGTACTGGAGTAGAAAGCTTTTTTTTACAATTGAATTAGCCTAATTCAGTTCACTTTGTATTTGAGTGGATTCATGTATTACTCCTATGAGAAAAAGGCTTTCTTCAACACAGTTGTGGTAAATTGTAGTAAATAATAATAAAACATGCTTTATTAGACTTGTGAATGGCAGCTTTATAAAGAACTCAACATTTTTTGCTTATTAGTAATGAATGCTATATGTAGTTTTATTACTGCTTTAAGTAGTACTTTCTATGACTTGCTGTTGTTAAACAAGGGTAAAAGAAGACTTTTGTAGATTTGTACAACATCACTGGAAGAATTAAACCAACCCTTTTCATGCAGTCAAGGATAACAATGCTATAATTTCTCTTTTCATTTAAATATGTTTTAATATCACATTGTAATTATTGCAATGTACTACAGTAAATATAATTGCCAACAAAAACATGCCTTTCTATGGCAAAATATGTCTGAGCACCTGTATCTTTAAATTATGACTGTAAAATATTTGATCATGACATTACGAGTGACAAATAAACAAATCACTAAGAATCATCTGTTCATGGCACTCGATAGTTACAAAATATTGTATTCTATTTCTGAAGCTATTTTCTATACTATAAAAAACCTTTACAGTAAATAATTGAAATTGTTTTTCTTAGAGCTTTGTGATTAGACACATTATATTGTTTATAGTGCAAAAATAAAGGTATAGCCATTGCTAAAATAAAGACATATGAAAAGCTACAAATAAGAGGAGGCCATTCAACACACATCTTGTTCGGTGGTTAGTATTTCAGCCGAAGATCTCAACCTGCTGTTTTTAGATGGAGACCATGTTTTCAACTTCAACACCATGACTGGATATCTTCCGTGAGACTATTTACTACTACTACTACTACTACTACTACTTTCACTTAGTTTTCATGTGTGTTCACTTGTGTCCTGTAGTTTGTTGTTCACTGTAGATTCTGAAAAGAAAATCCATTGTGTTGAATATGTCAGTGACTCTCAGTCATTAAAACAAAATAAACTGTAGGGTCTGGCTCATTTGTGCTTCCCAGTCTAGGTTTAAAATAAGCTCTCGACTGTTATACTAATAGTTAAATAACAGGAATTCAGGTTTCATTGTTAAAGAATTAAAGAAAAATTAAAGACAAATACATACAAAAAAAATATTATTCAGAAGAATGTAATTAAGCTTACCAGTAAAAGTAGGCCATTCACCCCATCCATTCTATTGTGGGTTTTGGACTACAACATTGTTTAATGATCATACTGTACTTGACTTTTAAGCACACAACAGTGGAAAGATCCTTGATCATAATAAAGGTTAGAAATTACTTTTCCCTTCCTAAAACAATTCAGTGTTTTTTGTATTATTACTATTACCATTATATAAACATAAACCAGTCCCAATTATTTTAAATGACTTAAACAATGTGAAAAGTATAACAATCTGTTTATATAATGACTATAAGAGTCTAAAAGCACTACAAAAAACTACAACCATTTCACAAATCATGACTCTAGTTGTAGTCCTTTGCTCTAACAAGAAAACCATGGATTTGTACAGTACAGGAACCTTTCCCAGAAACTTCATTTGATCCTTAACACTAGCTGTCCCACCTAGAGAATGTAAATTAAGGGTGCATTTGAGGAGAATGAATCTGATCTTCATGAAAAAGCTTTGTGTTTCTGCAGCTCAGTAGCAGCTCCTTTTGTTGAGATGAACATTTGCACCACGGTTAGCAATGCTGGACAACATAATATAGAAACAGAGACATCTGTAGGTAAAAAACCAACAGAGGTAAAATCAACCAAAATTAATATATTAATATACAAATCTAATACTAAAACAATTTTAAAAATACACTATTATTTTATGATACAATTGGTCACCTTGTATTTTTTTAACTGCTTTGAGTGTTCTCTTAATTAATATAAGGATTGTTGCCATCGTAAATAAACATGGGAAATGTTCCTGTGCACTCCGTGTATTTGATAATACTGAAACTGTCAAAAAGAGCTTTGTGTGAAAGAAACAACATCACTAATCCATATTTCAAACTGATGGCTCATACATTACTTCAGACGGCAAAGGGACATTACATGGGACTTTATTTTTTAAACCCACAACAAACTTTAGCTTGGTAGTAACAACAACTAGTGATCCTAATTTTCTAAACAGTTTTCTTCTCCTGCCCGTGCCTCAGTTACCGTACGTTTCCAGGCAGATTCTTTCCATTTTAGATTTTGACTAATTTCGCGTGATAATAGGATTGTAAACCCATTTCAGCTGAATCATCTCCTTCGCTATCTGATTTAGTTATCTGTGGATTCACGCATTCACACAAATGCCAATATTACCTAAACAGTAAACCTGAATAGGCTGGGTAATGTACATTCACCCTTTAGCTCCCTCAGCACCCTTCCTGAACAGCTCATATTGCATCACACAGGAAAAAACCCTTGTTGCAGATAACAAAGACTCTGGTGACTTGGCAGCTTACAGTGCATGTTTCACTGCAACTATTCTCTTGCATCGAGAAAAGTCCTGAAAGATTTCTTTCTCATATTTCACGCTTCAGGCTTCAAAGTGATGAAAGCCAAGTGTAATTTGCATTCAATCGACAGCTCTATAAATGTTTGACTGCCCTGTAAATCAAATTTTGCTCCATTTACATTTGAAATTGCTTGTGATCAAAGACCAGGCATCTTAACAACTTCATTTGGGGCGGTTATACTGGGATTCAAATCCAATACGTTTTGTGACAAAAACCTGGCTTCTGAATTAACGTGCTAGATCCGGGTATTTGAAAAATTTAAAATCTTCTGATGAACTGCTGCGCTGATTGAATTGGAATGGTTTTATCAATATTAAAGGCTTTGAAAAGTTTTCTTTTTTTACGCTTTTACATTTGTACACCTGCAACAGGCCCTAATCTTAAAAATTGGCTGTCATAAATTGCTCCTTCTCAGAAACCAATTAAGTAGTCCAATTAAATTTCAGGACAATTAACTCCAAACAGGTGTTATTCTAGAACCAACAGGAATGAATATACAGTAAAGCTTGTAAAATTTGGGTTCTTGTTTGTTCCAACATGGCTGCCTCATACATTTCTTTTTCTTTGTTGTTGACTTGTGGATGATGTATGCTGATACACGTACTGTATAACTGTTAACACTAACTTTTGCTATATAAAAAACATTCAGTCAATTAACTCCAAATACCAGTACCGATACCAGTAACATCTAACACACTGCTATTTCTGTATTCAGAAAAATGGCGACATGACAGCCATTTTCTTCTTTTATCTTTGGAACTAAGCACAGTATTGATTGAATTCGAACTGGACAGAACAACTAAAGCTGCTACTAATTTGTCCACATGAACTGTTACGATTCTAAGCAAAATCAAGCTCCTTATTCAAACTGCTCTTGTTCAAGGACTGTTTAGCCAATTAACTACAAAATTGGTAGGAATTAAGTGGGTACAGGTGACCTGTCACAAAATGGGAGTCTTGTACAACCCATAACAGCCACCTGACAACAGTTGTTTTGCAAAAGCCAAACTGCCATTATCTTGGGAACCATTGCATGGATTGACTAGAAACTTATCAGGATTCATCACACCCAGAGATGCTTTAGAACTTCACCTCCCAGGATGCTTTAGACCCAAACAAGCTAATCGCCTGCTTGACAAAACGTGCTGTTCTTCAAAACCTGTTAGTCCTATTACATCCATAGCTGTCACTCCAGTGTCAAGGTGTAAAATGAAAGTGGGGACTCCTGTTTAAACCATCCACTGTTTTGTTCTCAGACTTTGAACCACTACACTGATTGACCTGTTTCAAATTTGTACCTCACATGTCACACTGAAGCTTTCTATATCCAGATCAGGTCTCCCTTCTTGTTGAAACACTCTAGGTGCTGCTAACTTCTCTCCAGAAACTGTTTGGCCAATGAGCTTTAAATGTAGAAGGTATCATTCTCGTTTCCCATTAGGTTACTTGCAGTTCACTTGGACTGTAAAAAGTAAGTGGGAAAGAATGTGCACGAAAGCCTTCACAATAACATAAGAGTTTTCCATTTTTTATTTTGTTTAATCTGTGGTGAAATCCATTTGTCATTCTACATAAAAGCCTAAGGAAGTCAGGAAACACTCATCATTTCCCTACTTAACAAAAGAACCAGTGTTCTTAATGTTCTTAATCCGTTAAAACTCAATCTATCAAATATAAGAGCAGATTCTTTGAAACTACGAGACATTTAGAAGACAATGGCTGAGAAGCAAAGCTGAAAATATTGTAAGCAGGGATCTTTTAGCGGGTACACATAAGCTCAATAGAGAAAGTAATTTATAAACTGAAATGTTTAAATTAGAATATGGTAATGGTTGCCTTTGAAGCTTCTACTGCCTGAAGACATTTATCAGTAGGATCAAACGTGATGTTTTTAAGGCTGTCATTATAATATTTTCAAAGTGTGCTTCTCTTGCAAAATCTTAGGTAGAAAGGAAGTTCAAGCAACACCCTTATGATCAGCTGCACAGCAGTGAAATTGCAAATAACTGAAGGAAGCCACTACCACATATCTTTACGAAATGGTAAGCCAACTTGTCTATGATTAATACTAAAAACAATAGTAGTGCATGAATTAAATTACATTTGGAAGAATAAGGAGAACATTTTATTTATTATAACATGCAGCCAAGACACCTTGGAGTCACATGAATTTTAAAAGTTTGCATAAAAATTAACAATGAAGATGAAGCATCAGATATACAACTGTCAGATGAAGTAATTGGAGTTATCAATGTTTTCAGTGATGTCTGTCGTTCCCTGACAATTGGTATTTTTAAATGAAAGCTTAATATTCCTGAAATGAACTAAAAAAAAGACAATTATTGTTATGTTATGATACTAGGGTTCATTGCTTACACACCACCTATCACAGTTTTGTAGTTCTAAGACTGGGGGGAAAAATCCATCTTATAAACTTAAACCTATAAAAATCTAGATGAATAGCAAATCTATATACTATATTAGATAACTGTATTACTGATGTGCCATTTGAAGTGTATCTGCTATATTTAAATGGTTTAAACCCTGTTAATATTTAATAACATAGAAGAAGGAAACACAACTTACAAACAAAAGAGGAGGTACTTCAGAAAATTAAATGTGTTCAACCTGGGTAATACATGCAAAAGAAATCTGGAATTTATTTTGTACTCATATTTGTTAAATGTTTATTTCTATTTCCAACAGATGCTGCACTTCTCATGCTGTCTAAACTGGATATTCCAGTTTGTAATGCAAGCTGTTACTATGCTTGTCATCAGTAATGGTGAGCTCTTGTAGCAAACTGTATAAATATTCCACATTACTATTATAGATACGACCAGGGAACATATACAGTAACTCATTAAGATGCCTTTGAGCTTTAATACGTTGAAAAAGGCATTATTTTTATTATCAGTGGTCATGATAAACTTATTTAAATGCCTTAAAGGAAGTATTGGTAATTTGTTCAAATAAAAAAAAAACTTTTTATCAGTGTGTCAGAAAATGTATGAAGATGTCTGCTTTTGACAGATTTGAATTTTGCACACAATTCTTCTGTTCTTTTTTAGATTTTAAGGGTGATACAGGGGTGCAGGCATGGACATATCACTACAATATCACCCCAAACATGGACTGGAATACTGCTAGTGACTGGTGCAAAAAATACTACACAAACATGGTAGCAATACAGAACCAAAGAGAAATCGCGTATCTTAATGAAATGTTGCCACCAAACGCAAACTATTACTGGATCGGAATTCGGAAAATCAATGACACCTGGACATGGATTGGTACCAACAAAGCTTTAACAAAAGAAACTGAAAACTGGGCTACGGGTGAACCGAATAACATAGGGAAATTTCAAGACTGCGTGGAGATTTATATAAAGCGAAAGTTGGATACTGCAAAGTGGAATGATGAGCGTTGCAACAGGAAAAAGGGAGTCATTTGTTTTAAAGGTAATTTGTAACTACAAAATAGGAGATTGCTGAATGACTGGCAAAACACTTACTAATTCACTGGGAAAGAAATATTTGAAAAAATTAAGTGCAGGCCTGTGAACTAGAATGCAATTTCTGCATTTGTATGGAATTGTATAAATTTTACTTGCATGCAATAGAGCTAGCATACTAAAGTGCAAAAGCTGAAAATGTGTACCTTCTTCTATCTTTGGTACCTTCATCTATCTGAAGATAGATGCTCTTCAACCAGCAGCCATATCACCCTGAAACTCACAACTGGCAACCCACTGAAGCTAAGCAGGTGTGTCAGGTCAGTACCTGGATGGGCGCTCACCCTCCGGTCCATGTGGGTCCTAATGCCCCAATGTAGTGATAGGGACACTATATTGTAAAAAGGCACTGTCCTTCAGATGAGATGCAAAACCGAGGTCCTGATTCTCTGTGGTCATTAAAAATCCCAGGGCATTTCTCGAAAAGAGTAGGGATGTAACCCTGGCGTCCTGGCCAAATTTCCCATTGGCCCTTACCAATCATGGCCTCCTAATAATCCCCCTCTATGATTTGGCTTCATTACTCTGTTCTCCTCCCCACTGAGAGCTGGTGAGTGTTCTGGTGCACTATGGCTGCTGTCGCATCATCCAGCTGGGTACTGCACATTGGTGGTGGTAGAGGGGAGTCCCCATTACCTGAAAAGTTCTTTGAGTGGAGTGTCCATAAATGCGCTATATAAGTGTAAGCAACTATTAATTCATTATTATTATCTTCATCATCATTGGTCTCAATGGTTGAATCCCCTATGCAATGGTGTTTCAAAACAGAAAGACAATTCATACCTTAACACGTATGTGACCCGGTATCATTTATTGTAATGAATTACATCACTGCTCCACACAGTCCATCTCTTTGTAACATGCATTACAGCACCTCATACAGTTCATGGCACCTCAACTCTGGCAGAAGCTTTTTTTGGGGGGGACCTCATGGTCACTGGCACAACTTCAGTTTTAGGAGAGATCACATGTCAGAGAGCCAAATGGGTGAATTGCAAGTTGGCCAAAATCTGTATTCTCAGGGAAGATATGGTAGACATTCAAACCAAATTACTGATGGATCATGGCAACACAATTAACAATGTAACAAGCTAAAGAACCCCCTGAAATGCACTATTCTGACTCACTGTTCATTTAGTAGCAGTACAAAAATCTAAGATAACACGTTGCTTAGACCAGGCTGCACTTTAAGCCTGTACCACATCCTTAAACAGGCCAAGGTCTGCATTTTACTGCCCTCTTCTTTGAAATTTTATAGGACAGTCTCCTAGAATTACTATTTTAATAAATGTTGCAATAAAGTCTTACACAGCCTCCAAAAAAACTGTCACCATTATGGAATTATGTAACTTGAAAGTCAATGGAATTAATCTGTTGCCAAAGAAAAGGACAATGCAGAAAACCAATCCAGTTTAGTAAAATGATACCAGGTCACTCATTTTTTTAAATTAATTCCCTGTACTCTGTAAATACCAGAAAGAATTTAAGCCATCAGAAGACACATTTTGAATTATCATTGTAAGTCTCCAATACGTGTATAAGGGATCTCATTTGCTGTTCTGATTGATCTTGTTGCCTCTCTTTATTACTTTCAGGAGAGTGAAGGTCTTGCTGCTTCTTGTGAGTAGAAGGCAAGATAGCACATGTACACATGTTCATTTAGTAAATCGCACGTTTCATCTCCTTTACCATCTCCATCATTTATGCTTTACCTCTTCCTCTTCAGCCCTGTCCGTTTTTTCTCTTCCATGCAGCGTCTTGCACTGAGTCCTCCTGCAGCCCCTGGGGAGAATGTGTGGAAACGATAGGGAGCTACACATGTCAGTGCTTTGAGGGATTTGAGGGACCATACTGTGAAGGTCAGAGATCTTTATGGTTTTTATGCTACCCAGGAGCTGAGTGAATCCACAATGAATTTAAGCCATCACTGGAAAGGGCTCCACAGAGGCTCAAAACTAAAATGAATCTTTATTTCCCACCAGGAATTCTTTCAGGATCTAATCTTCTCAGATCCCTTGGTACTCTTGATGTATTAAATATTTATGGTAGACAGTAAGGACCTACTTATTGATAACACCAATCAGTGGCTTTACCATTAACAATGCACATTTTGTATTTTTATACGCCAAGCCATTTCGTGTCCACGTTTTTGCGTTTTTTGTGACTTGCATCACTGTGATAAAACCACAGCAGTCTTGTTCACGGATGGGGAAGGTTTGCAGGTAATGACGGTTTTCTTGCTTTCCTGACCCTGCAGCTGTGGGATGCGAGGTCTTGCAAGCTCCTGCCCACGGCACCATGAACTGTACCCACATCTTCAAGCCTTTTCACTTCAACTCCACCTGTGCGTTCCAGTGTGCCCGGGGCTATGAGCTGCGTGGGTCTCAGCACCTGCGCTGCCAGGCTTCTGGGGCATGGACCGCAGACACTCCAGCATGCCAGGGTATGAGGAACATCTCAGATCTGTGGTCTTGTCAGTCTTCAAAACTATCACCCCCTAACTTTTCTAATCATTTAAATTCCAAGAACCAATAAACAGTGAAAACTGAAAGTTTAGACGAGCAATACTTAATGGACAGCAGGGACACCAATATATAAAAGCATACTTTACACCCTTAATTTATTCTGTTTCACAGCACTGGGATTCCTGGTTTGAATAACTAAGTATAGGATATGATGTCCGTCAGAACTGCTGGGTGTCGCTTTTAAGGATTTGCTGTTAATTTACCATAAGGAAGCACTTTGTGCACATGGTTCCAGTGCTATCTCTGAAAAGAAAACCAGTTTTTCACATGTAGTGATGTGTACTCTGCTAAACTATATTGTTCTTATTTTGTTTTAGTAAATTCGTATTCAGAAATCTTTCAGTTTTCTTTTAGAGTTTTCTGTAAAAAAATGAGAGATATTTTGTGATGGTTTGAATAACCTGTGGAATTATCAGCCATGCTTGAAAATTGAAAACAAGCTCACCGCAAATAACGATGTTTGTTTATTGTAGCTGTGAAATGTGAAGTGCTGACTACTCCATCTCATGGCATCATGGACTGTGAGCACCCGATCGCACCCTTCAGCTACTCGTCGTCTTGCAGGCTGGGCTGTGAAGAAGGATTTCTTCTGAATGGGTCAAACTCTACTCAGTGTACAGCACAAGGGCTGTGGACTGAGACAACTCAAAACTGTCAAGGTAACTCATTGTTCATTTA